CCAGGGATGGGGCATCCACAGCTTCTCTGGGCAACCTGTTCCAGTGCCTCCCCACCCTCTCCGGGAAGAACTTCTTCCTGATATCTAATCTAAACCTCCCCACTTTCAATTTAAACCCGTTACCCCTTGTCCTGTCACTACAGGCCCCTGTAAAAAGCCCCCCCACAGCTTCCTTGTAGCCCCTTCAGGCACTGGAAGGTGCAGTAAGTATCTTCGCTTTCGAATACGGCCCTTGCTCCTCGCAGGTGACTGCGCATCAAACACGAGCGGTCTGACAGGGGGTGGTAATGCTGATCCCTTCATGGATCGCCGTGATGCAAAGGATTCCTTGCTTAAAGGGAGTAACAGGCTGCTACAAAAACCCTCACGTCCATGCTTGAGGGACCTCGCAAATACTGTCAAATAGGTCACGATTCGATGCTAATTGCTGGTTAGAACTGAGTGTCATACTGAGTAAAAAGGTGGGTCCTCTTAGCAAGAAAGGTCCTTCTCATTTTTCTGGCTCTTTTCCAGGAAGTTGCTGCTCAGGTTGCAGACACTGTTAAAATCCAAACGCGTTTTCTGACTTTTTTCACGAGAAGAGATCTTTCTATTAGTTGCAAGGCCCAGCTGCTGCAGGGACGTGCTGTTGTCTCCTGGGAGCAGAGCAGGAGCTTATTGTGAAGCTGGAGGCAGTTTGTATAAATAACACCCTAGCCCAAAGGACACCAGTCAGTATTCCTGCCTTGGCTGTGGCGATGGCCCGCTTTCCTCTAACAGCGGGGTCTGCCCTTGTTTCTTTTTTCTCTTTACAGGTTCTGGCGATAAAGGCAGGAAATCACAAAGTTCTAAACAAGTTAATTGGCCTAGTGCAGAGAGAAACAAAGGGACGATCCAATCCGGTTCTGGTGAAGCAGTTGTTAGAGAAGAAGCTGTCCGAGTAGCCACCAGAGAAAAACCACACAAGCGGCCACCGAAGGCACGCGCTCCGCTCTGTTGGGTTCACCGCAAATGAACTTCCACGCCTCCTCGTGCAGCAGCAGGATCGTGGGTGATACTGCGAGCGGCATCCCACCCTAGCCTCCCCGGATGCATCGGCCAAAGGCCGGCGAGGAAACGAACAGCAGGACCTGATCCCCTCAGTTGTATCTCCCTCCCTTCAGTCTGGCATTCGGAAATGTGGTTTCCACACAGCCATTTGAAACAAGCCCCCAGGGGTGCCGGTGGGCACACGGAGAGCTGAAGCTGCAGTGCTTCGTTCTGTAATAAAGCGGGTATAAACGCGGCTCTTCCAGCTGCCTTTTTGCGAGAGGGGGAAACACGCAGATCTCGATCGCAGAATCTGCCGCTGCGCGCCGAGACCTCCTTGTAAGCGAGCGTGAGCACACGGGTATCCGCGGTGAGTAAGGTCACGTGTGCCTCCACACCTGGCAGGAGGGAAGAACCATCCCCGGCTGTCCTCCCCCTGGTTTCTGAGGGCTGGGGAAGGGATGAGGTCGCTAGCTGCCACACGGCATGCCTGAGGCTAGCGCAGAGATGGGAGTGCCTGCGTCTAAGAACGGGCGTCAGGTTCACTCGCTGCCTCCTTACGTACCCAAACGGCTGCTTTGCCTAGCTGTCGTGTTTAACTCCGGCTAGCCAAGTACCACGAAGCCGCTCTCACAAATCCCCCTCCCCTCCTCCAGCGGAGGGGAAGAATTGGAGGAAAAAGAAATACGGAAGCTCGTAGAATTGAGATAAGAACTATTTACTAATTAAATCTAAATTAATATATACAAATACTACTCATAATAAATAATTAAAATAACAGGAAATAAAACATATGATACACTTTCTCGCCACTCACTGACCGATGCACAACAGGTGTTGAGTAGGGAGAGTCAGACCCAGAGAGCCCGAGAGCCGCAGCCTGAGGTCTGGAGCCCAAGAGCTATGGCAGCCGGTTACGAGCGACACCC